TGTAGTTTTAATATGTATGCAATTTTATAAATTGTTCAAAACACAAATAATTAGAACAAACAATTAGTTAATGTTAAACAACTCACATTTCAAATATTGTATTAATTTGTGTTGGATTTATTTAGTAACAAACAACTCTCTCTAAATAATTTGTAAGCTAATTTATCTAAATAACATAAATCAAGAAAATAAACAAAATAATTAAAATGATTTGAGGTATATTTTTATCTTTACATAAACTTATCCCATGGTATCATGTCCTGTGTATTATTAATACCCCCAAATGGAAGGTATTAGTAATACATGTTATAATACCATGTGTGAGGTATAACTAGTCCATGGATTAGTTATACATATATCCAAATTCCTACCAAACATAGTACTAAATAATATCATACATAATACATGGACAATTTGTTTTAATGTGTCCTTCCAAACGACCCTTAATAGTTTAGGATCTAATTACTTAGATATACCGTAGTTTGCAAAATAATGAATCTTATCAATTTTTTGGTGTGTTTAGATACATGTATATCGATATAAATGTAGGCAAATTTGAGTGTAATTTGTTCTAGATAGTTTGTATCCAAGTTGATTTCGTATGTATATGGATACATATACAACTCTCGTTCGCCTCCTCCTATCTCATTTGCCACTCTCTTATATCACTCGCATATTTGGTATTCGAGATGCATGTGAATCACACCAGATACATCTATTGTGATTCGCATACCTCTTAGATACATAGATAAATCTCATTTGCCTCCCTTTTGTTCTCACTCGCCCCCCTCTCTCTCTATTTTAGTGTATCTTGTAGAAAAAACATGTATCTAAGTGTATCTAACTTGAAATCTGATATGAAATTATTAATTAGTCAGATAAAATATAATTATTTCGAGAATAGTAATTATGATAGGAATGTTTGTATAATTAAGTAGTTTTTCCTATAGAAAATGGTTCATTCGCATAAAATTTCACGAAGTATTAAACAATTTTCAAGTAAAATAAATGAAAATAGGGAGATATTTTTTATCCCTCTACATAAAAGCAAATTAATTACCGACATATATCGACTTACAAGTTACACAATTCTGTCCTCTAAATAATTAGAGAAAATGCCGTCCAAACCAAAAAAAAAAAAAAACAAAATTGTCAAACATGTTGTAAATCATTTTGGTGGTTAAATGGATAATCATAACTCCTTGGTTAATTTCCCTTCTTTATGAGTAGTAATGTGGTTGATAATGTGGTCAAATGGATGACCATAACTCCTAGGTTAATTTCATCATTTATTGGTAGTAATGTTGTTGATAATATGGTTAATTGGATGACCATAATGGATAGTAATTCTCAAGGTTTAATGTAATGTTTATGACGCCCTTTGATATTCCTCAATGTAATCCTATAAATAGTGGTGTTGAGAATAATGTTGAATACACTTGAAAAAAAGAAAGTTAGTTTATATTGCTCTTTATATTGTTTTTTTGTTCTTAAGTTTTATAATAAAATATATTTATACTCTAATATTTTTCCACCATACAAAACGCACAAGTGCAAATAAAGAATTGTTTTTGGGTGAAAACGTAATTTAAGCATTCTATAACCTCCGCCGTTGCTGCCTCCTATAAACCCTAAACAAAAATCTGTGGACAGAGCAACCAGAGCTAGAAAAAACATAGTTCACAGAGATATCTACTTGCGAAGAAAATGGCGAAGTCAATGAGATCAAAGAGGGAAAAGAGGCTGAGAGCCATAAGGAGGGATATAGTTGCTACAGAACCCACTGTTCTTAAGAAAGAAGCTGCTAAATTGGCTGCCCAAGAAGCTGCCCTTGCTGCACCTAAGCTTATTGTTAAGTCTCCCTTCAGCCGCACCACCATGGATACTTCTGCCTCTACTTCTAACGACGATACTAAAATGGGTATGCAAGTTTTACTTTTATTTATTTTTCTCCATTAACTCATCGATTCTCTTTTTACTCGATTTGGAATAAATATGATATGTTGCTTTGGCTAATTCTAGTTTGGAATTAAATTTTCATGGTTTCAATATTTTCTTCTGTTGTTACCATTAATATTCCTGTGTGTTTTTGGAGTACGAGATGTTGATAGGAAGGAGAGTGGTATGCTGTGGGAAAGGTGGAAAACAGAAAAAAAAAAATTATAGAAAAGATGTAAGAACGTATCTGCTGTTTATGTTGGCGAATAATATACTTTGGAAGGATAAAATCCTTTTCAGAAGTGGCTGTCTTTGAAATAATTAGGCTTTTGTATAAGTATTTGTTCAATCTTCTGTGATAAATGAGTCGAAGTATGATTTAGTGTGTATTAAGTATGGCTATGGGAGCTTCATATTTCTTTGAAGATATTATCTCGGAGATATCATGAATATGGCTATTTATGTGAAGATATGTTGTATCAGACCAGGACATTCAATGATAGTTTCAGCTAGATGTTTGGACATGCTTGCTAGCTTTTCTAGGATTATTGACTGAACAATCAGATGAACTCCTTTTTTAGTTGCAGCACAATCATATGAACTCCAATTCTATTAATAAAAAAATCTTATCAACACTTGTGCTATTCTACGATAGAGACAACTCTAAGATAGTAAGGGTTTTAGGATAAGAACAAGCAATATGAAATATATCATTGCAAGTTTAACTATCATAAACGTGAAGTTTAATGTTAGATTAGACTGGATTGCAGCACCTAAATGCGGACAGTTCATATCTCTAGGGTTGATTTCTCAGGAGTATGGTATGATAGAGGAAGAATGTAACATATAGAGTTAAGAGATAAGATGGCTGAAATGAAGACGTGTTACCGGAGTGAGTAGATGATTGGAGGATATCTGCCAAAGTGCTGTCAAGACTGCTTATGTGATATGAGAGTGAACCTTAGGTTCTTAAGGTCCTAAATTGTTGACATAAAAAGCAACATGCATAGTTGAGGAGCGCACAAGTTGGCCTAAGCACCGCCATCATAAAAAAATTATTTTAAAAATGAAGCAACTCAGGCAATCTAACTAATTGGATTGAGACGTTTTTGTCAACTTTTGAAAGCTGATATTATGATACATAAAGTAACTCTTCCTCTCTTTTTACTTTTTAGTTAGTGAATTTTGGCTAGCGCTTAATATACTCCAGATGAGGCCAATTTAAGAGATTGAGATTAATGGTTTAGCTGGTTAACGCTGATAATAGATTACTGTCAGTTATCAGCATCAACCACTTTGTCTCAGTCTGTATATCCAGTGATTCCAGTAGTGATATGAAAGAAAAAGGAGTTATATGCATTATCTGAAGCATATTGCCACGAAAGGAAGATATCTCGTTACTAGAGTTCATTGAATACATTAGTTTCACAAGTTTAGCTTGTACATCATCAGTGTGCACAATCAAGACATGTGGGGAACTCCATATCATGCCTTTTTCTTTTGGAACCCAGAAACAGCCCCCAACAATTAGGTTCCTAATGTTATACGTTCCTATTTATTTCTTGTGGGAAGATTAATACATGTAAGTAAGATTTAACTGCTCATTCTACTCCAGTGTTCTGTATCTGCTGTTGCTGCTGAAACTTGCGCACCTGTTTTTTAGCCTCCCCTCAAATATGTTATCTTGTCATTGTCTTGATTTCCAGATGTGGAGATGGCTGATGGCAATCAAAGTTCAAAATCTTTAAAACCTCTTGGAAAGAAGATGAAAAAGAAGCTTAAAATAGCTAAGAAGAAGAATCATGGCAAGGGAAAGATCAGGAGGAAGAATGTTTGATTGCAGGTGGTAGCCATCTTGCTAAGCTGATAGATCTGTCTTGTTACTTATACTGTTGACAAGTCCCCCTCCCATATTCTCTCCTTAATTCAGGATCTTACATTGTAGTAGTATCTTGGAACTTGAGCATGTGAGTGGATATGCTCATATAAATTTGTTTGTGTGCTGTCAAAATGAAGCCTCAAGTTCTTAAATTTGTTTACAAAATAGATCGTCTTTTTCATTTGTCTTTTACAGTTTGTTGGAACATGCAAAACTTGCAAGGAAATATGAAGAGATGTAGAAATCCAACAATGTTCATGTTTTAGTTTTCTGATGAAGTTGACGTGGTAAACATCATCCTTCATTTGGTTTTTGGCTTGACTGTTACAAATGGTTCAATATTCACCTTTTCCAATTGTTAGGATGTTCATGTTTTTAAGCAAACTTTAATGATGCAACGACTAAGTAATGACAAAAAATAAATCATAATCAGCACAGCTATTACATCCAGAATAATAGTACCACAGAGCATAGCACAGGTAACAGCAATATCCACTTACCGACTTAGCAAAATCCTCCGTAATCCAAGAAAGCAAAAACACCCAACGATGCTGCTGATGAAACCCAATAGACCAAACAGGGGGATAAGCATATACTTCTTTTTGGAACGAACTAAAAATGAGGGCCTTAATCATTATACCCTCAAACAAATGATATGCATATTTAACAACACCAAGTGATCAAATAATCCATCACACTGAATTGCAAAGGGTTCATTTGAATTACGTTCCCAAAATAATTGCACTATACATAAAAAATGAATTTTGAATTTAACTCAATCTCAAAAGCTTAGCAAAAGTAGTGAGGATTGCCTAATATATATATATATATATTATTTTATTTTTATTTTTTATTTTTTAAAAAAGACCAAATAACTCATCACCTTTGGATGTAGGAATATCTGATATAACTCACTACCAGTTACATTTCTACTTTTTGCCGGCATAATGTTTTCTAGTTTTGCCCTGAAATTTTGATGTTCATTGTAAAAAAATGCATATGCAGTTCCAAAAAATTCATTTCCCTCGTAAGCTTACCAATAAAGAATTCTAGTACCTCTACGAACAGGTTAAATATTCATAGCCTCTAAACACCAGTAGTTCAAACTTAAATATGGGAAACAATTTCGAAAACAAGAATGTGACAGTAAATGGTGCAAAAACATACAGTGAAAGATACACATGGTGCAACTACTAAGCTACCTAGCTTCAGAAGATGATCCCTTTGACATTGAAATCTGATGAATTTCACTCAAATGAAAAGTGTAGTCGTTGAACACAAGTTCACCACGGTAGGCAGCTAGCAGTTCAGGAACTTGTGCTTCATATTTAGTAACACACTTCCGTAAGAAGTCCTTTTCACTGATCATTAGAATTGAGGATAGTTTGCCAACTTTTGAAATAACGCCTCTTGACCACAAAACTTGCATGACAGAACACCTAGGAATAACCCTCTTCTTCAGGCTACGCAATAGAAAGGATGGTCTTTGTGACAAGTGTGATAGGCTCAAATGGAGTTTATTAACATAGAATGCCACAATTGCCCTGATATTATCCTCAGAATAAAACATGCAAGTTGGCTGCAATCTGAAAATATTAAGGATCTCGCCATCTGAAAAGCCCATACTTCGGTAGTTTTCCAGTTTCCTTTCCATTTTGGAATCATTAAGTACAGACATTGCAGTAAAAGCTGCCCTAAATGCTGGAGATGTAACATCAAACCCCAATTCCTTAAGTCTCAAGCCAACCTTATTCATCTTTTTGGGATTTATAGTCAAGATAATGGGACCTTTTGAAATAAACTCTGGAACTTGAGAATCAGGAATACCAAGTTGGTGCAATACCTGTAGAGTCTGCTTCAAACCACTAGAGATCTTATAATTAAAGATCTGTGGACTTCGTTTGATGGCAGCCATTGCTTGCATTTCACTACCCATGAACATCTTTAGGGAATCAAAGCATGGAGTCAGTTGTTTCTCTATGCTACTCATGAGTATGTTGGGGTTACCACAGATAATCTTATTGCGTTCATCTTCAGTAAAGCCAATTGATTGCAAAAACTTGAACTTGGGCTTTAGGGTTTTGTCCACCTTCGATACTAGTAATTTAGGGCGTAGTCTAATTAGTTTCTTCGTTTGGGTTGCAGAAAACCCATGGTTTTGGAAGAACTCAATAAAAGCTGAAACTTTTGAACATTGAGCAGTATCTAATTGGAGTGGTTCTGCTTCACTAATGATGTTTTCTTTTGATAAACCATGAGACTTTCTGTGATACAAATTAATGAGTGTGCTCTCATCAGTTGGGATGTTGCTGCCACAGCTAGTTGACACAAACTGCACGAAAAGGCTGGTTGTCCTGATCTTTGTACACAAGTTTCTTTGACATTTATAGAGAGATTGAAGCATTTTAAAAGAAGGGAGCCCTGTGAAAGAGATGTGTCAATGCCAAGATCATGCCTCAAGGGACACAAATTATAAGCCTGCTAAAGCAAACAAAAACTTGTTAGCTAAATAGCCTGTTTGCCAAAAAAGAATGCCTGTTAGTGAAAGAAGAGGACAATGAAATTCAACATTGGTGTAATTATATAAATCCTCCAAGTTCAGGAAAAGTCAACACTCCACAAAATTTTGTAATATTGCCAGGTAAACTCCTCAATCTCTAGACACATTAGAAGAACCATTATGGCGATGGACCAGCAACGAGCAGTTTGAAATGCTGACTGTTTGAGTTAAAGAAAATATTTGAGTCTGGTGTGCTACCAAATAAAAATAGCTCAGTCCAGCATTTAGGTTTTCTTACTTTCAATCTCTATGTGAAATTAGTTTTTCAAACTCAAGATATCAAATCCAACTTGAACAAAAAACGACAAAGGATTAAATGATCTAGTGGCAAATGCCTATTCCAACCACTCCCAAAAAGATTCAGAACAGTATGACAAGACAGATTAATTAATTAAAAGTTAAAACTGAAGCCAAAAAATGAGTTTCCTCTTTTATTAAATTGCTGTATATTTGCAGATACTTCAGACTGTTATTGCTGGTCTACCAACAGGGAAAAATTGAATTCCTCTATCACCGGAAAGCTAAGGAAATGGTGGAAGATAATGCTTGAGTGAGCAGAAATAGTTATAAAGTCACTGTTGGTAACTATGAAAAAGTGAGATGAGAGAGCAATGAGTCATAAGTATGAACAGAAAAAATAGTGCTATCTAAACAATGGGAAAGTCTAATTGTGGATGAAGCAATAATACGAAAGAGTAAAGCAAGAGACTATGCAGATGATGACTGTTGGTCACTCCATGACAGACCAAGAGAGCAAGAGGAAGAGGACCATGAACACTGTGACAGAGAGGAAAATATAATCCTCTGTTTCAATCTTACTTCCCTTTAAGTATGTTTTAAAAATAATACCACTCTCTATAATTAGTTCAGTAACTCTTTAATTTCCATATCCCAAACAACATTCAAAGGACATTTTGGTATATTATACACATCTTTAGTTTAGGCCCACAAGATTCAAATTGTGATGTTCAAACCTTGATGGATGGAGTTACCTGGTACTTGTGTTGGTGAGAGGTAGCAATTACCCCAAGGAATTAGTCATGGTGCACGCACGTTGAACTAGACATTACGGTTATTTAGAAATAGTTTTAACTTTAATTTTTCTATTTTACCCTTAATAAGTTGATTTATAGTCATACAAAGTTAATGGCTTGTTTTAGATCATAAGTTTTCAAAAGTCTTACTTAAATTCTTAAACTTAGTGCTAGTCAAATGCCGGACCTACTAAATATAGAAAGTGGCATTCCTTTTTAGACAAACTAAAAAGGAAAGTGAGACACATAAATTGAAACAGAATAAGTACTTGATTTATCACTATTATAAAAATATAGCTATCCGAGTATGAAAAGGACTTGGCCAGCCTTCTAGTTGAGACACTAGGTAAGGTCAACAACATGGACATCCAATCTTGAGATCCAAGTCATAGTCAAATCCAAACTCTAACACTAGTTGAGCATCAATGAGGACATTTTCTGCTTATAGTCATGCTTTTTTTCATACGATGTATTCCTTATTTGTGGTTTTAGGGTGAGAAATTCACCTTTTACAATTTTACCTTTTGGCACTTATTATTTACTGTTTGGTGCCTCTTCATATTTTTATTGATGAATTACATGACATCTTAAGCCCCCACTTTTTAGTACAGACCTAAAGCTCATTTGGTTTGTCTAGCTTAATTATATTTAGAGGTATGAACAAACTCATTGATAAAGCCCAAGATCTTCAAGTCCCTACCTCTCCGTCATTCTCTTTTTAGAGTAGATTCTCCGCTGATAACTCCTGTGGTGCTCGTATATGGTATTCTTTCTTCTTCTTTTTTTCAAATAAGTGGTGTTCATATATGATATTCTAGTCAACCACAACATCTAGTCTTTCCCCTTCTATTTCCAATCAATTATGTACTTATAGATCACATTTATCAATTCAATACACTTAGAAGATCTATCCTCAAAATGCATTCACCTCACAACTTCAGGCATAACTTCCTTGTGCTTTTGTTTTTCAAAACACTGCTGCAAACTTAAGTCCCCAATCAAGATCATTTTCACACGTTCTGAACCAAAGAAGAAAACATAAAAGGGGGAGTGTTAGTCTACTGCATGCTTCCTCAGAATAATAAACATTATTTCCATTGTGAATCTTCTTTCCACTATAATCCCACTCATAACAATAATCTCCACCTTAGAAGTGTTGTAGCTCTTCTCTGAGTTGAACTCACTGATTGTAGGATTTAACTCAAGTCAATAACACACTTGATGGATGGTGGTGAACCATCATAATATCAAAAGTGAGTGGTTGATAATTAGTTCACTAGCTGAGCTAAGTCCTCTGGTAGGAAAGTGGTTGTAATCTATACAACTTCTAGCATGCCGCCTCAATCGAATAAGGACCTTATTTTCTCTAGCCTTCCACCCAAAATGCTAGTCAGATTCTTAAAACTTTCAAGTCTCAAATCTATCACCCAAAAAAGTAATATGCTTACCTAACTTCTCACTCGCAGTGACAACAATATACTACGTAACAAACATCTTTGTTGAGCTTATTATCCAACGATAATATGCATTACTTCTATGCAATCCAACAACAGGAATCTTTCTAAAGCACTATAGTTTAGACCCCTTCCGAAGACTTTTAAATCATCATGTCGTAAAGCAATATTTTGTATTACTACTAGCATACAAGTATAAGTTTAACATTAAAATTAGTTCCATTTTCCTACACCAACTACATTCCACGTGACTCATTAGATGATCTGAAAACATCTTCTCCTAGAATATTAGTTCCAAACATTTGTGTTGCCCCTCTTCTAGGTTCTTGAGAATCTTATTACCACTTCCCAAATAGGCTGAGCAGTGCAACACATCTCCAATTCACCTTCTTCAAAATCATTCCCTGCTCATTTCGTTCGAGATCATTCTGCGTTGATGAGAAAAATGAACCTAGGACCTAACTCAACCCAAAGAATAGCTCACTGAAATGCCCATTGTCCAAAATCATATAACAATTCATACCTTCAACCAATGTAGGATTCTAACAAAGAGTTCGTGTTGTACACTTCGAAAAGAATCAATCTAGGTTAAAAATATATTTTTTTCGAAAAAGTATGAAATTTTATAGAATAAGTAGGCTCTCGGTTACCCTTCTTTCATATTATTTCGTCTAATTTGTAAGAAAAAACTAATGAACTAAAGTATAGGCTATGCAATTTCTTTTTCTTCAGAATTACCAAAATCCCCAAATCACAAAAAGGAACAAAAACTAGAAATAGAAAGTAAAAGGGACAGAAGAACCGTAAAGGGGCTGCTCAGGTAAAATGAACAAATAAAAGAAAGAAACAAAGAAAACCCAGTTAAATTATCAGATTCAAATTCAAGAACCAGATAAGCACCAAATTATAGCACAATTTTCCTGTTGTTTCCTCAATTATATGAATCAATGTACACAAACTTGAACAGTGAATCATTAGCAATTTTAACAAAAGGAAAAATACATCAATAATAGGAGGAGCCAAGATTACATACCTGCAATACGAACAGCTCCACTGAGAATGGCGAAGCAGTGAACAAGCACGATGCCTATTTTAGGAACAAGATCAAATATTCGAATTTATCATTCAGGTCCCTTTGAATTTTAGAAAATGCTATTATGACTCAAAGTTCAGATAAATGGCAAAGTGCATCTCCTCCTCCAACTATCCCACCAATTTGATCCATTTTTCTTTTATCTTCTTTCATTAGTGCTTTACGTATAAAATATAAGAAAATAACTTTAATACGTATAATAATAGTGATAGTAGGAAAAAAATATCTTGAAACTGAGACAAATTTTACAGAGTGGGTTAGACCAATTATGTTATATGAGATAAAGTGTTGATTCGTATAGGACTCTTATATTTAGATAATGAAGATTACGAAAAGAAAGATGTCGAGATTGATGTGTGGGCTTACTAGCGAAATATGATTAAAATTAGGATATTCAATGAAAGTGGCATGAATGTAGGATAAGATGTGTGAAATGAGTTTGAGATTGTTCTAGCATATGGAGAGGAGATGCACGGATGTCTCAGTGTGAAACTGTGAGATGATATCTAATGTCTATAGATGATTTCAAGAGAGGTGGATGTAAGTCCAAAAAGTACTAAAGAAATGTGATTAGATAAAATATGAGAATACTCCAACTTACTAAGAACGTGACCTTAGATATAGGGCTATTAGGACACAAATAATGGCAAAAGACTAATAGATAGTTGTTGAATGTTGTTTTAGTTATTTTTTTCATACTAATAATTGTAACATTATTCTTGTGATTTTTTATCCTCCTATTTCTTTAGTAATTGTACCATACACGGTGAGATATCCCAAAATGAATAGAGCACCGCATTAGTTGGGAATTGGGATATGTGGATCAAAATTTTGGGCAATTTCTAAAATTTGATTTATTATTTTCAAAAATGATATGGTACTTAATACTTTTTAATATGTTTCTTTGTTTGATTATTCAAAAATGATATTATTTGTCTTTTAGAAACAATCTCCCTATCTTCACGACCTAACAGTAAGGTATGCATACACTTTTTTGTTAAGCTCTATTTAATGGGATTTCACTAAATATGTTATTGTTGTTATTTTTGTTTGATCAATAACTTGGGTCAAAGTGCACAAATATTCGACTTGAAATCGTCATTTAAGTTATACATATAGTGCATAAATAATTACAAACTTATCTATTTTAAAACAATTTTACATGTGTTGTGCCTAAAGTTCTACATGATTGAAGTTCAATCCCTTTTTTTAAAAATAAAATAAATAATCTTTAGTCATATTTGCTGCAACTCTAGGCAAAATTAAACTTCAACCATATGAAAAGGCGTATTTAGGGAGGTTATCAGACTCGCGTGAATTGTTTCACATCTCCGTAA